TGACTGAGAGATCTGAGGTGTGTTTACATTTGGAAGAAGTAGTTTATTGTTCTTAAAAGCAGAGGATGAGTGCATTGTCAATGACGTGTTTTATTTTGATGAAATGTTCTTGGAAGTTTTTAAAGCTCTGTGTTAATCTCGCTCTAATCAAGATTTTGTGCTGATGAAATGCAGAAATTTCCTCTTCTGTACAGTATATTAAACTCAGAATTTTGACTTGAGGAGCCCATTACTTTGATCAAGTTTGCCATCCTGTGTAAAGTAGCAAAATTATTCCCCTGTAACACAGCAAAATTTATTCTCCTGTAACTTTTGTTTAAAGCTCGTAACTTCAGTTTAAGTTGTGGCTTTATCTGAAGTCTCTTGTCTTCATTAAGTCCTTGCATGAGGACAATTGTCTGCTGTCATAACCTATCAAAGAGGGTGGTGAATTCTCTATTTGACTTTGTACAGATTCAGTTTCCAGTTACTGCACGTTGATTGTTTTGCTTTGTTGCTTTGCTGCTGTTCAAAATCTTTCCCATATACAAGCTGTGCAGCCAGTAATCAGATCAATATATTAAATATTTTCTATATACAGCACATGGATTACTTGCTCATAGTGTTTTGCATCATTAGCTATCACAGCCATATGCTCTAAATATAATTTTTATTTTTTGGAGAGCATGGTCTACAATCTTATCAGTGTTAATTACGTTATTTATTTCTACCTCCTTGATGCTGCACTTAATTATCTTTATGTGCGGGCTTTTCAAACAGCCGTATCAGGTCTTCAGTGCTGCCAGCTCTGGTGCGTACCCATTGCGAGGTGCGTTCACACTTGGGGTTAGTCTGGATTTGGATCCCATTTGGATCACTCGGCTTTGCCCTCACCCCACGGCACTGCTGGCCAGTGTAGACCTGGCTCTGAGTTACCAACACTTCAGTGTTGGTTTTGGGCAAAGTGTGCTTATAGGGGTTTTATTTTTCTTCAGCACGTAGGTTGGGATATTGAAATGAAATCATAGGAGAACCTTTAGCTTGGGTGGGATGTTCCTTTCTTCCCTTCTGTTTACCTCAATTATAGTTCAGTATCACACAGTTTAATATATCTCAGCTTTTTGCTGGGTTATTCATGTTGATATGTTATGCAAGTTTTAATCAAATATCGACATAAATTTTTGTGTTAGTCCCATTGTCTTTGTCCACCAAATCTGCAGTCTCAAAACGATTTGTTCTAGGAGCATCCACTGGCCATAAGTGATATTGTCACTGTAATTATTTAGTCTTTTCACTAATGGCTGCCCTGATCAGCATTAGCCTGGCTTAGGTTAGTGTCCAAGTCGGTCTAGATTTATAATTTCAAAATTAATTCTGTAAAACCTTTTCAAGGTCTGCTGTACTTTGTTTAAAAACCCAAAACCAAACAACCCTCATCCACCCTCTACTCCTTGCTCCCATCTCTCTGCACCCGCCTCATTTCCCTTTTCTTTTTCTTTACAGTTTCAAGTGTTCAAAAAGGAATAATAAAAACCAGCAGTACTGATGGAGGTGTCCTGGTTTTCCCATAGTTATATGTTTTTACAGGTTAAAAATGTCCCTCTGCTACTAGAGGGACAGAGATATTTCAGCAGCAAAGCAAGAAGTGAAGGGGTAGATAAACCTGAGGAGTTTCCTCTGTAGTTTCCCTGTGTTGCTTGGCATTTCTTAGGTTGTCTTGAGCAACTGTTGGTCTGGGTTATTTTTATAATCTAGTTTCTGTGCAAATTTAATGGATAACGTTGAAGAATTCTGCTTAATCAGCATTTAATATTCAATAGAGATGGAGGATGCATTCTCCAGGTCTGAATTTACAGTTGGACCAGGTCGGGGACTTGCATTTTCCATAGGGATTCCTCCTATTTTGTTTTTCCATGCAACCAGCTTGCAAGTGTTATGAAGCTTACTGGGAGTTCCCAAGCGAGACTTGTTGACTGAGTTTAATGCGTTTTGCGTGTTTATGCAAAGCGCTGCCACTGCGATGCTTTGGCGTCTGCCTAAGGAAATCTCTTTGCGGTCTGAGGTGGGTAGGAAAGCAACAGGTTTCCCTGGGGGATCTGCTGGGGTTTAGCCGAAAACACAGCGTTTTCGTTCTCTGGTAGTTGATTCGTAAATACACTTCTGCCTGCAAAATAATAATCCCGTCTTATTCCTTATCTACCTTGTGCTTGGAAATGATTGTATCTTGTGTATTAGGTGACAGTCGTTAATTCTGAAAGCACTTATGTGACAGGCGGCTGCTTTAATGTTTCAGATCTCCCTGATAATGTACATCCATCTGTTCTGTAGCAAATGCATCGCCACTTTGCATATTGATGATTTCTGATGTAGCGCTGCTTGTAATTAAATTTTGATAATGCATTTTCTGGGAAAAAAAACAAGCTTATTTGTGCAAATACAGAGGAAATGTGAAATCTCTTATGACTGAAGCTAATTTTGTAAATGGATGGTCACTAGACAAATGTAGGAATAACTAGAAATACATAACTGTACTGGCGTATGTTGGCTTTTTAATTGACTGGAGTTTTGTTTAGGTATATTAACAGCAGCAATAGCCTTATTTTTGTCACTTAAGCATTTAGCAGAATCATGCATTTTGTTACTTATTTTGATGCTGACCTTTCATGTTGGTTGCTCGTAAATACAAATTGAAAGTTTGGATTAGATCATAGAAACAAATGCAGCATCTGCAGTTTTATCAAGTAAGTCCTAAACCAGTAATTGATGCGTGTATTTGAAATAAGGCTGTTGATATCGGAAAAACACAGTTAAAACTTTTAAACTTCATTGAGGGCTATTTGGAAAAACATTTGTGGTGGAAACTAAAGCTGCTAGATTATGAAAATGTAAATCTCTTGTTTGGTCTTTTCGTTTTTGAAGGGTTTTTTTTTTTGGTTACAGATTTTTACATGATTTAATGGTTAAAAAAAATCCCAATCTTTTCTGTTTTCTTTAGAAAACAAGATGTAATGTTATGTTCATAATGACCAAACTATGTAGCAAGCCTGATAAATGGCTTTTACTAACCTCAGATTATATATGCAACCAAATTTGACGTTTGATGAAATGGTGTTACTAAACATCACTCCAATATCCGAAGGTTTCCGGGCTTTTGGGAAAAATGTTAAGTGAAATCATGTCTCTCTGATGCCACAAAGAGTGTACTCTTCCTTAAATGCTGCTTACAGTATACAGAGGATTAAATGCGTTCACTTCTGGTGCCCCTTGCACTCGAGGTTGGAGTCGTTGGCTTCTGATTTCCATCATGTGCACCCCAGGGCCCTGATGCTCTTTTGCCACTGGTAAAAGCCAGAGTCGGCTCAGCCTCTGCTTGCCTGCAGCGTGGCCTTGCCTTGACGTGTGGAGATTAATTGTCCTTTAGTAATAGCTTCTCAGTCACTGATCGGAGCTAATTGCTCGTGGACGCTTTCCTTGGAATGCATATTTCAGCTTTGCTGCTTGTGAGGTTTTATCTGGGGACAGTTTTCGTCTGGGTAGATCTGTGGAAACTTGAGAACCACGGTTTTGGGATGGAAGTAGTGTTTCTGTGAGCAGAATCCCATCTATGAATCCTTCTCAGTGCAGGACTTGAGGAACATCTGTGAATGTGTTTCTGTGCCTTTTATGGTGCAACACAATGAATTACCAGAAACCATAGCTCTAAGGTACTTTCTTCCTTCCCCGACAATAAATTGAATGTCCTTATGGATACCATGGGGTTTATCTGTTCCACACTTGCATCATCCAAGGCTCTAGGTTTTTTTGGTTTTATGTTTTTAAGCTATAAGAGATAGAAGATTTCCTGAAAAGAAAAAGAGGAGGAGGGAGGTGGGAGATTAGGAGAATGTCTTCCTGTGCTGAAGTGCTTATGGAAACCCATCCTTCACTGCTCCTGCTCCAAGGGGACTCAACGGTCGCGCTCCCTTCCAGTACTGTGTTGTGCTTTCTGAATCTCAGCGTAGCCCTGCTGAGTGCGTGGTGTGGTCTGTGAACACCCAAAACTGGTGGTTCTATACACAATAAAAAGGTGGTTATTTTCTCTTTTCACACATTTTTATGTGCAACCTATGAGTCTGTATAATTTGGTACGTGTGTGGCCGAATGCGTAGATAATTTGGAAATTACAGTAGTATTTTTCAATTTCTGTCGATATGCACCTAAATTTGGCAGTCATTTAACTTCTCGAAGTCTCACTGAACGATTCCTGTAGCTTCTTAGAGTTTGGAGAATGTTGTTGCCAGCAGTGGTTTTTTTGCCAGGCGAGGTATGTGCCATTTCTGGGCTGCGTGGGCTGCCTGGTGATGTCTGCTTTTGGCCACTGGGCATCTCTGTGGCCAGTTTAAGCCTTGGAGGTGCTAAGGCTATGGCTGTACTCCTTAGGGGCTGTTGTCTTTTCCATTTATCTAAAAGAAAATCATAGTAACAAGAAATGAAACTTTGAATTATACCTGAAAATATGCCTGCTTTTAAGGCATAAGGCCAAAAGCAGCTCATCATTTGTGAGTGACAGATAAAATCTGTAATCAAGTGACAGCGAAAATATAATGCTGTTTGAAAATGATCTTTGTCCAGTTTTTAGCAAGTAGGATCACATACTTGGGTTTTCTGTTACCATGAATATTAATGATTCTTGTGGATTTTCAAGGAGGGCCAAGTATTCCTGAATTTTGCCGAGTCTGACGCTTACAGACGTCATGATCAGACCATTAGGTAGAAGAAATAACTCTCTTGCTACTAAGTTGTCTGCAGTCTGCTTGGGTTTTTCCAGTTGTGTGTTGAGTAGAAATTATTCGTTGTTTCTTGGAATTTGAAGTTGTCAGGACTAGTACAATGAACTAAGTTTTTAATGCTTTATCTAATAAAAAGTTGTAACTTTTGTAATTTCCCACTTGTTCTTTTTGTTGTTTCCGTAGAATGTGAAAGCATTTGCATCTTCAGATAGCCTAGCCAAGGTCCAAGAAGTAGCAAGCTGGCTTTTGGAAATGAATCAGGAACTGCTCTCTGTGGGCAGCAAGAGGCGACGAACTGGTGGACCTCTTCGAGGTAACGCTTCCTCAAGCCAAGTAGATGAGGAGCAGATGAATCGGGTCGTGGAGGAGGAGGAGCAGCAGCAACGACGGCAGCAAGAGGAGCAGCACATTGGGAGGAATGGGGAGATAGGAGGAGAGGAACCCGCGTTTGAGGACATAGCAGGAAGAGTTAGAAGAAAATAACAATAGACTTAATACCGCGGATGAAGAGTCCACGTGTAACCAAGAGGAAGATGATGATGAACATGCTGGCGATCAAGAGGAGGAGGCGGAAGAGGAGGAGGAAATGGACCAGGAGAGCGATGATTTCGATCAGTCTGACGACAGCAGCAGAGAAGATGAACACGCGAACAGTAACAGCGTCACCAATTCCAACAGCCTCATGGACTTGCCCGTTCACCAGTCATCGCCATTCTACATAAAGACAAAGGTGAGAAACTGCCGGTTTTTGTTTGTTATCCTCATCAAGTCTGGATTTTTAAAAATAATTTGCATATTTAATTTAAATTTTTACAGTGAAACAAAGACTTCACTTCCTAAGGAGCTCATTTGAAGAATTTATGCAGTCCACTAAAACTACACTTTTAAAACTGTTAATTATCAAATTATTTGCATGCATTTGACATGAGCAAATACTCTTACATATTTTAAGCTCTGATGACTATGTTCAAAAGATAAAGGTGTTTTTTTTATAAATATTTTAATGTGCTAACTTGTACACTTAAGACCCTCCCAGGATTATTTCTGATATTTTCTTTCTCAATGCCGGCAAGAAGGAAGAGAAGCAATTGCGCTTGTGTGGTGTTCTTTGAGCACATCTGGTTCATGTGGATGAAAACATTGTAATGAAAAAATAGGGTGCAATATTACAGAAACATCAAGTTCTTCCCTCTGACCAGGTTATAGCGAGTTCATTGACAAAAAACAGGTTGAAAAAAAATGGTCTGCCCTGTCCTTCAGTTATAAAGTCATCAGACGATGTCGTATGGTATCCTGCTAAGGAGGACCTTTTAAATTGAGTGCAATGGTTGTTGGGAACTTCTGATTTGCAATAAGAATTTGGAAGTAAATCTGGGTATTTTTATTGCTACTTAAGTAACATTTTAGATTTACCAAAAAAAAATGTTTTACAAATATTAGCTCCAGTGTACGTTGCTAGTTCACCATATTTCCCAGATTCTTCAGGAAGGTGGAGTTATTAACTCTTAGCAGCAACAAAACCAGAAAGAATAATCCAAGTGGTGATACTGAGCAATAGAAGAGAGGACCAGGCAAACATTCCTGGGGAAAAATGTTGTCCTAAGCCTATATACCAATTTCTTTCTCTTAATCATGAATTGGTAGTAAAACACCGAGCCTCATCTCTCCTTTCAAAAAACAGAATTGCCAAACCCCCTCAAATTTTAGTGTGTACTTAAAAAATAATTATGTAGGCAAAACAAAACCACAAAAATCAGTTAACATAAATTAACAGGATTCCCTATGTATCTGAGTGTGAACATAAATGTATAGAGACGGAGAATCAGTCTTGAAGATACATGAAACAGGTAAATAGGGTGAACATTTGCTTCTGGAAGCTGCAGCGATGTTTTTGGTAATAGTGATTCCTGTGGAATTCACTTGTGTGTTTAAAGTATCTCAACGAACTGAGATTTTTGAAAAGCAATAATGTTTTCGCCTCAGTTTTTAGTAAGATATATAATTTTCTGTGGATCATTCTACTCTTCCGGGTACCACAGTATATGCTTTCTAATTTGGAGTGAAATACTGTCATATTTCGTGTCATTCGATTGGCTTCTTACAGCTCCAGTTCTCCTTTTTTATTCCAATGCTTTGGTTTTCCCAGCTTTAGTATGAATTACTGGGTATCATCTAGCAACTTACACCCAGTATGGACTTGATATCTAATGTAGGAAATGCTTACCTTCAAAAATATGTTTTCAGGTCTCTGAACTGGAGACTTCTTGAAGTCTTTTGTAAATAACCATGCTCAAATGATATACAGCAGAGCACAGTTTTTGATGGTGGTCAGTTCTGAAGCTCATTTTATCATCTCCAATAATCACTACAGGTTTTTTCTTTCTTTTTTTTTAAGGCGTATTTGACATAAACTGGAACAGCCTGGTTTAGCCTGAAGGAAGTTGTCTGACAGATTTTTGTATCGATGCACAATTTCTGTGTGGTCTTGATAGCTGCTTTGCGTATTGTTTCTATGCAAGACTGGCCAGTTTTGGCTGTGCTCTGTCCCCAGGCTGTGAGGACCTTGGTAGTGAACCGTATCTGGGAACTGTTTTTGATTTTAGGTAGGTCTAGCTGTGCACCTGAAGGATCAGCACAGATTAGAAAGCTGCTTGAGCTGGCACTGTGCTAGACCGTGGTTACTCAGTAAGACTGACATAACGCAACATCAATGTTACCAGTTCATTGATAAACCAACATTTAACCATACAAACGCATTCTGTGTTAAAGAAATGTTGTAGAAATGTAGCTGTCTTGAGTGTGAATGAATTACTGGAGTGAAAATAAACACAACTAAGTAATATGCTGCTTTTGCGAAGGAAAGGGAGCGTATGTAGGCTCATCAGCCACATTCACAAGTGGTTTATGGCTCTGCCTGTTGAAGATCGACTCATCCTAGGAGACTTGAACCTGATAGACTTATTCTTAGCTTTTCTGATAAACTTCTCAGCATTTGTAGTCTGTACAGTTCTCCTCATAACTCTGGCTGAATGACCTGCTCCCATGCTGTACTCCTGTGAAACTTGACTTGCTCCACCAGTATCGTCTGCGAAGGTCGGCTCCGCTATTTTGTGTGCCAGATGTAAACCCAGCTCTCAAAACCATGCATTCCTGATCCAACACAGTTGCTAGGTTGGTCTGCTTGTACAAAGCGATATTGGCAACACACAGTTCTCATCACTACCAAATACCAAGAGACAATAGTGAGCCTGAAGAAAAGCCTGCCATAGGTGTCATTGTGCAGCTCCTCTCAAATTCTTGGTATCTCTGTTCCTTGTCTTTCTACTTTTTATTCCTTTCATCATAAACTGCTGAATAAAATCTCTTTCTAATCTGCCTTTTTTTGCTTGTTGGCCTGTGGGACCTTGTGAGGTTAAGGAAGGAAATGACAGGGTTCCCACATGACACCACAATGTGTCCTGTTTGTGTTTGCCGCCTGTCACCTGGACTCCCACTTGACAGCAGCAAGCTCACTGTGTTCTACCTGATAAACTTCACCAGAAGCATAAAAACCATTATGTCTATATATAAATACATTTTATATGGATTCATGGTTGAGGTAATGTTTATACAATATATAAAAGTAGATATAAATGTACTTATACTACTGCTCCGTGCAAATAGCTGAGGTAATAGTTGCCATAATGTTGTGAAAATGTTGTGACTAAAGGATGTGTGCACTTGAAATGCGAAGGCCGGTGGGTCAGGAGAGTCTTCGTTGCATTCACCAGCAACACCCAGGAATCCAGAAAGGTCCTTGTGGTTACCTGGTACGATTTCCTTCTTAAAATGTTAGGCTGCTCTGTATTGACTCCTGTGGAAGCTGAAGCGTATTTTTAGAAAACCTTTGCCATTTGAAAACAGGAAACAGTCCAGCAAGGCAAATCTGTCTCAAGTGTAGGTTAATAGTTTGTTAGTTACCATCAGTGCTTAAACTTATGCACCTTTACTCTGCCTTCTTCCTGTTATCTGTCCTTTTTTGACCATTGCATTTTATTATTTTCATGTTTTACGTAAGAGCTGTTTAATGAACAGGGTTTTTTCCCACATACATAAAGCCATTGAGTTCACTCCTGAAAGTTCTCGTTAGTGTAAATAGTAACAGCACTTTGTCCATTTGGCATATTTTTCCATTATTTGTTCCCATTATGATACTTCCCTGAAAACCCTCTCTGATTTTTTCAACGTCCATCTCGAATCATAGATACCAGAACTGTGCCAATGACAATTAAAATTTCTTCATGCTATCTATTTACCTGTTTATACAATGACCCATTCTGGTAACCCTTTTGACTGCGGCGTTGCATAGGGATTTCGTGTTCAGCTGGTTTGTCTAACATGGTGCAAGCCTTTTCCAGTGAGCCTTCTCTGCTCTAAGAATGGCCTGGGTTCCTTGCACCTAGGGGATCGATGCTTGGTTGTATTGAAGTGACCAAAGTTTTCTCACATCCAGTGTCCCTCATCACGTCCTTTACTGTTAGTTAATTTTTACTCCCATAGATCTGTCCTATTAAATGTTGCCATGTCTGTTAAATAAAATACTAAATAGCGCAGGAGGGCAAAGTAAATAATATGTGCAGAGCTCTTACAGAAACATCCGCCTGTTGATGCTGATTCTTCACTGATTGCATCCTATTTGTGGCATCCATTTCCAGCGCTCCGCGATGACTTTGTATTCCTTGGGCTCCTTAGGAAAGGTCGTGTAACAATTAACCGCAACATAAGCAAACAAATACATTTACAGTGCATCACGTAATTCATCGCAACTGCCCTGAAATGCTTTTATGCCTCAGTCCGTGTGAGATGCTGTAGCACTGCAAGGACAAGAACGTATTACTGGTAATCACCATCCCTGCGAAATAGCTCGTGTAAATCAACATTTTTGCCTGTTTTAGATTTAAATTGTTTGTGTACCTGTGTTCACAGTCTTGAAATTGTAGTATATCATGCATAGCAAATATGTCATGCCAGCAGTGTTTTATCTGTATCAAAACTGATGTTTACGACCTAGGTGATTGCCAGCATGTTTTTATGGAAAAACTGGCATCAGCGCTGTTAATCCTATTCTATGTCAAGCATTATTTTCTCTTGGACTGACACCTGGGTTTCAGCCTGTGGTCATCCAGGTTGTACTCTGTTTCCTTTTCTAATTTTTTCTATATACTGTTAGACTTCTTTGAGATTTCTGAAATATTTCAATTGATCTAATTCTTAAAAAATAATACATGTAATGTCTAACTCATGCCATTTTTTGCGTGTTTTTATTTGCTTAACTCCCAATTTCGTGTTAATGACAGTCATTTTCATTATACTTAAATCTTTTGGTTTTAGTGGTGGCTTTCATTTTCTGTCCAGGTGAGGTGTTTTTCTTTAACTGCTGTGAACTTTTCTTATTTGGACGAGTATTGGCTTCCTGATTTTCTTAGAAATTGTTTCTAAACAGTGAAAATAATTTCCAGGTTCATTCACCTTTGGTTTGAATTTGATGTATTGTATGGAAGGGGGGAAAATGTCATGATCAGTAATACCCAAGCTACCATTAATTTAACTTGGTTAAAGGGTGAGAAAGACGATGAATAAGCTGGGTTGACTTTGATGGAGCCAGGACAAGACGTACCACACAAAAACCTGTCCCTTGCAGCTTAAATACCCATCTCACAATGAAACAAATCTAAACCCATCCTCACGTAC